CCCCACCCCATTTCTTTCTACTGCAGAAAAATGAAATACCAAACATAACTGCAGGCAAATCCCCAAACTTCCAATAAGCAAACGCTGAAATATGTGATCTCAACAGAAATTGGAAATCAGAAAGGTATTTGAATGAGGTCATATTGGAAATTTGTGTTCTTGGAAATAGTTCTGTGGCAGTATTGTAAAATAAACTTTGTAAGCTCCCCACCTTTCTGAAAGGTGGCTAGCAAGGACACAGTAAAATGATGCATTTTTCATTGATTGCAAATTTTGAAGCAAAATTTTAAAAGTTTAAATGGTGTTGCCAGGTGCTCATAAACAAGAGCCATCTGAAGATTTAAATGGGATTTCAATGCAATGGAGGTGTGCTACAGACAGGTCTCAGAAGCATGGTTAAGCATGTCTCAAAATGTCACTGCTCAAGGGTGCCAGAATGAACCTTGAGCAAGGTCAGCTGTGTTCCTGACTTCTTTTGCTCCAGAAGCCACTCCAGCATATCAGGACACTGTGATCAGCACGATGGCAGTTCACACAGTGGGGACCATATTGCTAATCTCCCCATTTTGCAGAATACATGTGTTCTGTGGAGTGTTTTTTGCTCTGAATCAGGATGTTTGGGAGTTCAGATCAAATGTTCTTACTGAGAGAGTCAGCCAGCTAATCTCCATGCCAGGAAATGAAGCCATCTGATGTCCTGAGGTGAAGCTATAGGAGGCTGTATGAGTCCAGAACAACTTGAAATCTGTTTTATAAATAAATCCTCATTGGTTTGGAGCTTCTATTTTCTACCACAATCAGTATTGCCTTCTTTTTATTTTCAGGTTTTATCCAGGGGACAAATGCAGAATCTGCTACTTACAGGTAGCAGATTTTACAGATTTTACAGATTTGTAAATAGCCTTTCTAATGCTGTTTGCAAAAAATCTGAATGCTGTCTGAAAGAGAGAGAGTAACACTTTGTACTGGCAAGCTGTAGTTTGCTATTGTGCCTCTGAATCAGCATTGCAATACTGCAAATAAAGATCCTGGAGACTGAGAGAAGCATGTACTCTTTGTTTGGCTCTATTGGCAATGACATTAATCTCAAACAAATGAAAAGTTTCAGCTAAGAAGACTTTGAAAATTTTATTTGTGTCATTAGTACAATACTTCTCTGTCCTCCAATCTTTTGGACAATGAGGGAAGTCCAAAAGTAAAAATCCTCTCTTTATTTTGATCATGTTCTGAAAAGAGTCTCTCCATAAGATGAGCATAGGAGCTGCTGGCATAGACAATTTGTGCTTCCTAGTCACTGTCCAAAGGACTTATATTCCCTCACTGACTATAGAAGGCCCCAGACCTTTGTGTGAAAACACACAACATGATTAGATCAAATATGATTGCTGCTGGTGCCAAAATGGGAAGAAATGCTTTTCCCTCTTCTCAGTTCTGCTGCTGGCTCATTTCCTTGTCCACTTACCTTTGTGCCAGGTCTGACATCCAGCAGGATCAGCCATAGATCTTCTCAACTCAGGAGCCCAGGAGAGAATTAAAGCCATCAAAAATCTTGCAAAGCTGTCTGCCAGCTTTGTGAGCTGAACTGGTCCAGCCCAGTGAATTGGAGAGTAAGTCCTGTGACATTACACCAAAATGATATAGATGTATAAAAAAAGTAAGGTCACCTGCTCGCAGTGTTTCATAGGAAGCTTGAAAAATTTTGGAGGCATTTGGACAATTTAAAGTAGCAGGATGTAGTTCCTCCCATTATGTGTAGCTGCCCAGAATCCAATAGGGAATTTATGTGCTAAGGAGCCAATTGCTCAGGATAAAGATGCCAAGGAAAGATGCTGAGTTCCCAAGCCATGGTTTGTAGAAGGGCTCTGCATGCATGACTTGCACTGGCAGACACCAAAAGAGCTGAATCTCTTCAAAGCAGAGCACAAAGCAGGGACTTCTGGTGATACCAGAATACTGTCTCAGCAATTAGGAGGGACAGCTAAGGGCCAAGGAAACAGCAAATGTTTTGCTGACTGGGCAGTCCTCAGTACCCAACCTGCAGGATGAGGGAAGAGGCATCTCAGCAATGAGGAGCACTGACAAAAAGGTCAGGTCATCTCTGCCTCCCTCCATACACAGCTCATGTCTTCAAAGACTACGTGAGTGACAGCAGCACAGTTTTGGGGTCTCAACCACCTTTGTCTGGAGAAATTGGGAGGATTTATAGACTATACACTAAAAGGCCTGGAAAGGAAGGCCTCTGTCTTTTTTGTCTTTGAAGTTTACACTCTTTCTTCCCCTTATCACTAGAAGTTTTACCAGAGCAGAGAATGAATTTCACCATCAAAACATTAGACAGCTGTGTAAAATAAGAAGTATTTTTCCAAAGAGGAAGCTCAAATGTTTCTGCCCAAGGCAATTCAGGATCAAAAGAAGGACACATTGATTTCTCAAATAAAAGCATTTTCAAATGAGAGTCCCTTACTCTTTGGAGTTTTTTAGAAAATGATTTGCAGATGGCACATCTCTCCCCGGTGTGACTTTTTCCAGACACATGGAGCATTTAGCACATCCACAGTTCGGAGGCAATGCAGCCCCAACATTTATGTGCCGACTCAGTAAATGAACATATTACTGTGAGTGCCTCCTAGGTAAATAACAGGAGTTTCCTTATGGAACGATCAAAGGAAATGCTAACAAAACCCTTCCACTGGTACAACACAAAGTACTCGTTTATCAGCTATCTGCAATTATTTACACAAGAAGGTCCCGCAGAGCCCAAGGAGGCACACGGTGCCAGCTGTGACGCAGGGCCACATGCACCTGGAGCTGAGGGCAAGGAGAGGAGCCCAGCCTGTGGACACAAACCTGCATGAATGGTATTGGTGTTGTTCTGGGAATGCAGCTCAATGGAAAAGTCTGTTTCAAGTGCACTCGTCCATAGAGATCAATAGCAAAATGTGCAGAATTGGCAAAATATTCAAAGAAGCATGCCTTTAGAAAATACAGGCAAAATCTTTACATCCAAACTACAGCTTCCAGATGTTTACCAGAACACCTAGAAATTATTACTGTGGTGAAAATCATATTTCTTCACTTGGCTCCATGTGCTGCCTTTGTCAGCTGTGTTCTCACCAAGAATTATTCCCATAACTTCTGCTCAGTTTAACCAGTGAAAGATACACATGTGAAAAGATGACGTACATAATTCTTGAAGTTAACCATGACCAAATCCCGTCAAGTGTAAAACTAAGTTTGTTTGAATAACAATTGTTAAATAATAATGTTGTCTCAAAGATGTATCTTTGCCTTAAAAAACGACTTACAAAAAGGCACTCTAAATTTTTTTAATATTTGTGCATGCATATTAAATGGATACCAATAACACAGACACATACACATGCAGTGCTTGGAGTTCTCCAAATGACTGTGACATAAGGAGACATTTAACAGCAGCAAACTGAGATGGCATATCTTAAAATGTGCCTCTTCACATTTTGGGGTGCTGGTTCAGTACTAATGTAACAGGAGGAGGGGTGCCTGCTGAACCAGACATTCTCTGCACAGAAACTCGGGGTTTCACTTGGGGGGGTCTTCCCTCTTTGTGTTAACTTTCTGCAGTGCATTTCTCAGAAACAAGGTCACAGTCTCAAGGGCGTCATGACATTTGTGTGTATGCACTTCACACTGCTCCAGCAAGAACATATGCCGGTGCTTTTGGGAAAGGATGTGTTTTTCATTTCAGTGTGAAAGCCCTTATCAATGTGCTAGCATGTGGGGAGGCTCAGGAGACTGTTTGGCAGGAAAATTGTATAGAAAATACTTACACCACAGCCTCTCGAGAAAGGAAATCTATGACAGGTGGGTTAGGTACAAATATCTGAACAGTACATCACTAAATGATTAAGAAAACCCTAGCAGTGATGTCTCAGTGCATGGAATTAGTAGGAACCCAATTAAAAGCCCACTATCATGAGCAGTAAAGTGCCAATTGAGTTTCTGAACCCTGAATCAGGACGACTTTTGGAATGAAAAAGGGGTTGTAGCTGCATAAGCCAGAATAAAAATGTGTTGGCAGAAAATTCTTTTTACCATCAGTAATGAATTTGTTGACAGCTATTATGTAGAACCGGATACAGACACTGCCTGTACATGAACGATTTAACCAAAAATTACAACATACACCCTTTCAGAAGATTATATGACAAAAATAAGTATCTCAGTAAGAATGTCTCTGAGCTCCACAATCTATCATGTTTCAAAGGAATTTTATACTAAGAAAATTTACAGCTGAAAATTTCATGCTTGTTCTCATAGGCTTAGTCTTAACCAAGAGTAACATAAGCTGTGTTATATCTAAAAAACAGCTTTAAGCAGCAAAGTAAAATAATTATCAGGCTAGTTTCTCCACCATGTAAGGCAGTTGCAAAGATTAATAGACCAATCCTGCAGGCTGGTTTCTTTTTAATTTAAACCACAGCTACCAATGAAGGGGAAGTGTTTCAACAAAAGAGAAAGTAATTTGAGATTATATTTGAAAAAACAATTTGGAGTTTGCAGGAAGAAGTAGCTTTGAAAAATGGCCTGGGGGTTGTAACTATACACGATTGTTCTTATAGGAGCTTACAGTTGGAAAGTGTCCGGCCTAACCTGTTTCTCCTGAATGCAAATTCTTCACTGACGCAGTGGAACTGCGTTGTACAATGTCCCTGCTGGAAGGGGATGGGCAGCAGCAACCTCAGAGCTGGCTTTGCTCTGAGCTGAAGGAACAGGAGTCTGGCAACTGTGTAAGCAAAGTTAAAACCCCTGACTGGTCATTTTGCCCCTTTCCTATCCAAGGCAGGGAGTAAAGTGCAGAGATCAGGAAAAACAGAAACTGTAGTTTCAGCACTGAAGTAACTCTACATCTGGGGAAATGGGCTGGTCTCTTGTCACTCTTGTCTAATTCTGCTGGGTTTGCTACTTCTGTGGACAAAGTGCAGTAAAAGGACAGGAAAGAGGAAGACAATATATCACTTTACCTTTTTTACTTCTGTTGTTCATTTAATCTTTTCTTATTTAATACACAAAGTGTGTAAAACCGGTCCTTCTTGCTCCACTTTGAACCATCTTCTATTTCATCTGACAGGCACCTGGTTTCGGAAGAATTTGTTCTTTCAATCCTACTCTTGAGATAGGTATGAGCTCACATGCATCGTCTTACACTCCCAGTGTTTGCTTTGGAGAGTCAGTTCTGAAACTGAAGAACGCCTTTGGACCTGCTCTCCCAATCGCTGTGAATCACTGGTCACTCCCCAATAAAGGTACGTTTGTTTGTCATTGCTAATGTAAACACTCAGGGACACCTTGTTATAAAGCCTACAGCCTCTGGGGATGTTTCATTTACCATAATAAGTAAGATTTTTGCCTGACAATGCTGAAGTTAATTTTAGCAACTTGCTGTTTCCCTAAAGCTACAGTTTAGGTTCTAAATCATGCACTCTGTCTCAGCAGTCTCAATGAAAATCAAGAAGTGTTTTATTTCTGGAGTTGAAGTAAAACTTACCACAATAGAATTCCATACTGCAGCTTTGTAGTCTATTATCATCTTTCTTACTCAGAATGAAGTTAGACGTTCCCAGCCTGTATTTATGATCAAGGATGCTTCAGAATAATGTATATAAATTGAGTTTTATTGATCATTGAACATCTGCTGGCACTTAAGTATGTGAAAACCTAAGCAGGAACAAAAGCTTTGCAAGTTTGCATTTTTTGATGCTTATAAAATTATAATTTATAATCAAGTACACTATGTTATGTTTTCTTTATCACCTTCATAAAGATAAAGTAATGTAAGCAGAGTCTTGGATTACAAGACCACTACAAGATTGCAAAGACTCAGGGTTTTATGATTTATGGAAGAAAAATTCCGTTATTCTTCTCTTAAATCTGACACAATTTAATAGCATTTTTGCCTGCTGTGGAAGAGGGTCTGTGCCAAACTATGATTACTGCAAACAGAATCGGAAGTGCTATAAAAATATTTTTTTTTTATTTTGCATCTATTGCCATAGGTGGTGAGCAAATGTCTTTGTCCAACTTCCTGATCATACAGTTTTCACTCATCCTTTCCAACACTGACTAATATAGAACATGTGCCAGTGCTGATGCAGACCCTTCTTAAAGTATGTGCATTTCACACACGGCTCTCGTGGATGCTCAGATCACTCAGTGTAAGTACAGATTCAGCAAGGAGTCAGGAGAGGGAAAAATGTAGTACTGGAGAGAAACAAAACAAAAGGGCATGCAAGCCTTATGGGTGTGGGTTCAAGAAGAGCCTCTGCACATCAGGTGTGTGTTGGGAAATTACATTCTTTTATGAAAATGTGGGTCATAGGAACTGGAAGCAACTCAGAAGAAAGAGTTTTTGTCTCTTTTCCCAGAGTTACCAAGCCTCTTTCATGTGGCCCGACCTTTTCTCTTTATTTCCAAAGCTAAACCAAACATGCCAGCAGCATGTCCAGGCATGGAAACGTTAAACTTGGCCCTTCTTGAGTTTACAGACTTGCTGCTCTGCTGGTATAAGTCTGACCAGCCCCAGGTTTGAGCAAGAAGACCCCCAAAGTTCCTGCGGAGCACAAGATTTTCCAGATAAAGATTACCTAGAAATGCAGAGCATGCTGCAAGGTGTGACTGCAAAGGCTCTGAGAACATCACAGTTTCATAGGGGTTTTGAGGTACCTGAAATGAAGAAGGGACAGCTTTATGTTCAAGGCATCTTTCCTAAGACATGGTGGGCTACAATGAGTATCACACTTGGCTAGCTAAACCAGACTTTAAAACACTTGGATAAGATGACCTTTCCTGGATTGCAATTAAAAATCATCCATCCTTAAATCTTAGAATGTAAAAAAAATAACTGTGGAAACCTACTACATGCTGTTGCCCATCTTTGTAATGAGAAAAATCTCCCTTTAATTGTCATCATGACAATGCCAAGAAATTCCCAGGATAGAGCCTCTCTTTTTCCTGCCTGCACATGTGTCCAGTGCCTAAGCACTACCACTCAGGAAGGAAATGCTGCAGATCTGAATACTACAGACCAAGACAATGAGGTAAAACACAGCATCTTGACTCCTGCCCATCCAACTCCTGCACCGAGGTTAGGGACTGTGCCACTGAGAGGTCTCACTAGAGGGCAGCCAATAAAACCTCTAGCAGTAAATTTGCATGGGCTGAATACCACTTATTTTTGTCTTCTTAGACCCTGGAGTGTGATGGGATATGAAATTTGGCCCCTTGAAATTGCTGCCAGTAACTGTTTGTCCTGTGTTTGGGTTTTTTCCGTGTAGAGGTGCAGAGGAGGATCTGCTCACTGCTTTATCTCCATGATAAAGGCCTGATGGATGTGGAACATCTTCGGGAAGCTTTGAAAAATCGTGAAGGTGAGACAGCACTTGATGCAGAGCAGGGTGATCACGACTATCCCTGCCCTCGCTTCTTTCCCTTGACTCCTTAAAGGAAACATCACAACTTACAACAAAATATACATAGTGTGATATGTAGTTGCTCACCATAAAATTGCTCCTGAAGTAGTTATTGAGGTTCAAATGTACCATGCTATTTTTTTTCCATCTCCTTAGTCTTTTTAATAAACTGCAACCCTCAGTGCCTCAAGGTCCTCTCTCACCTCTGTTTTCATAAATGCTTCCCAGTACCTGCCCTATCCTGCAACACCAAAAAAAAAAAAAAAAAAAGAGAGAGAGAGTAGGTTATATACTTTCCAGAGAAACACAAGAACAAGATCTCAAGAGCTTCCAAGATAAATACATTCTCTGAATTCCATACATTCATCATGTAGTTTTTATTAGGCCAAATTTTTTTTTACAAGATTTTCTGTGGTTCTGAGCTGAGATACATTTTCTATCCCTATAGAAATATCTTTGTTTACTTGATCATATATTGCTCTGCTATGAAAAAGAAAAAAAAAATTAAGCACTTTTTTTCTCTAGTTTTCATGTAACAGGAACAATGACTATCAAAAATAGTCCTTTAAAGCATAAACTGTTTCAGAAATAAATACCACTTGATGTTAATAAAATGCATTCCTCTGGCTGTGACTACTAAGAACTCCATTCGAAGTTCATATTTTGGATAATTCTGACTTCCCTTAAGGTGACCAAATGTATATCGGAATCCTAAATCTGATCTTGTTTTATGCTACATACTCAAACCCTCCATTTTCTTCAAATGAAAAGATGAACAAAAATACTAAGCTGAAGTTTGATAAGAAAGTTTCATCAGAAAAATCTTGTTGGTGAAATTGAATTCATTGGATAATTTTCCATTTCCCACGAACACAGAAAACAGTATTTGTTTTTCAGTACCAATTAATAAAGCTGAGTGAGCAATTAGACACAAAATCTCAGTTTTCGTGGTTGTGTAACAGCTGCACTTAGCTTGAAACTTCACCAGATATATTAATTACCCAAACATAGTTAACATTTTTTGTTCATGAGGGTAGCAACTGGAGTCTTTGTTTCTTAATCAATTAGAATGCTCAGTTTTTGTTGTGCATGTGTGTGTCGCACACACAATTCATTCAAAATTGATTTTGCTCATGATTACAAGGGTCTTGTAACATTGGCTCTGCTCCCTGTTTAGCTGATCCTATCTCATCCATCAGGAGAATAGCCTGAAGATACTATCAATCCAGTAGTTTATGAAGTAGAAACAAATAATACATGATCAGAGATTTCATAAAATATTATATTGTTTTCCTCTTTCTCTGCACCCCACAGACTTTTCACAAACCATCCCTCTTAGACCAGAAAACGGTAAGATATATTGGCTAGGAGGGGAGTTTAATTCAATTCTTACTCGTTGCATTCACACAAAATAATTGAATGCACGTGCAGAGTCTGGTTTTAAGGGATCCAGTCAGGCCTTAATCTGATTCACCTATGGGTCTCCTTGATAGTGAATTGGCAATGAATTTCAAAAGCCTCTCTGCAACCTTACACCAAGTAGTTTTCCACTCAGAGGAAGAGCTGAGAGAGGCAGAGTTAAAATTGTTCATGAAATACATAGAGTGATACTTGGTGCATCTTTTAAAGATCTTGAAAAGCTGAGATCAAGAACATGCAGATTTTTAAAATGTATGTGCAAATAGTAAGTTTTCTTATCAGCTGCATTGTCATGTGGCGTATGGGAGACTCTACCATATGTGTAGTGCAAAGCAGAATGTAAAGAACTGCTGCTTTGCATTTGGTTGCTTTTGTTCTTTGAAAGGCAAGGGTAATGCAGAGTCTACCAAAGTGTCTCCAGCTGCAGCTGTGTCAGTAGCCCAGCAGGGCACTGGAGTTTAAACTCCACAGGAGTTTACACAGGAGTTTAAAACAGGAGTATAAAACCCCAGCCTGCCTGGCTCCATCGCTCAGCTGCCCAACAGTGCGGAGCTTATGGCTTGCTTTCAGGATTAGCTGTACCTACAAATTTGGGGATTTTTTACAAATCATTATTGCCATAGTCACATTGCACTCCGTGACCATAGCAATAACAGTTGCAATTCATCATGTCCAGTTCCTCCTTCTCCCCTTTTCTTGACCTCGCCTGGCTAAGGCATGAGAATCCTATGGGAAATGGCCAAGGGAATCCTCCCCAGCGTCCAGGGGCTGGAGTTAAAAATCAAACACAGTAGCCTTGACTACACAGCTCCACATCTGGAAACACTGGTATGTGATCTCAGAGGAGGGGCCTTCCTGGCTTGTCTGGAGCTCCAGGTGACGCTACCTCCCAGCTCCCCTGCAGGAGGAGGAATGGCTCTCCGCTAAGCGTGTGTCATCAGCTCGGAACACACGCTTCCCTTCACTCAAACCATATGGATGCATTCCATATTCTTATTAATTTTCATAGGGCTGGGACCACCATAAGTGCTTGCTCTGCATCTTTGCGTGTTTCAGTTTCCTGAAACAATTTTCTCTTGTGTTTCAGTTAAGTACAGGCTCCACCAAACACATTATTAATTACAGACGTGGGTTGCCTTATGCGGTATGATGTGTTCCCTCTGCACATTCACTTAAATGTCTGTTGTGAAAC